TTTTAATATAATACTTATTAAACTTAATCATACTGACTGTGGTTTTCATAGGTCAAATATTTGGCAACCCAATCCATTACATGCATGTGCTAAGGGTGTGTGTGTGTACGTGTGTGTGCATGTGTGTTTAAAACTGAAACAAAAATTTCAGGGAACATTATTTCCCCAACTACATGTAATGTATGTTGATTTCTTTTATTATATTTCAGATTTTTTAAGTTATATTTTACTGGTGTCCCATCAAATTGATTTAACAAACCATCAGTGGATTGTTATCTACAGTGTGAAAAACATTGCTGCAAGGAAACATAAAGCATTTGGAGTGGGGAAACTTGAATGGAATGTTTAAGGGCAGTTTTTGGTAGGAGTGAGCAAAGGGAATGATGAAAAATATTTAGGAAGGTATTCAAATTGGTCTGATAATAAGGACCAGGATTGTGTTTTTAGGAAAGAAAAGAAAAAGATTTAAAAAAAATTGTGCTGATGGTATCTAGGATTTTCTCCTCTTTTGAAAGGAATAACCAAGAAGTTTGGAAACACGTAGATTACATAAATTCCTATGCGGCCAGTAGATGGAGCCATCAGCACAATATAGCTTTGTGGTTGCCCCGCTGGGATGTTGAGAGGTAAGGGAAAAAACCACTCTTGTTTGCTCTGCGCCATTTGTATTCTGGGCCCATTATTAATTCATCCTTACTTATTCATAAATATATTGTATGTCTCCTATGTGTCAGAAATGATGCAGAACACAAATGGTACAATGGTGAAAACTAGACATGGTCCCTGTCGTACGGTTTTACAATCTAGATGATGGCTATTAAACAAATAATTACAAGTGTGATGTATGCTATTAAAGGGGAAACACAGAGGGACCTAATCCAGAGTTGATGGGCATGAAAAGTCTTGTTTTTACAAGTCTATGATCTTGTAGGGACAACAGATACTTTAAGATTTTGTTAATTAAACCCCTTAATAACATATTAGCAAACTGGGCAATAGAGATACATGTGAGGTGTTGTGGGAACTGTAATTATGCAGCAACCAAAGACAAAGCTCAAGTTTTCATAAAAAGAAAAAAAATTACAGTATTAATAAATTTGCTAATTTGGGGTTATAATTTATACAAACTCAACAAACTATAAACTATGAATACCTGTAGGTTTAATTGAATAGCTTTAGCTCATTCCATCAGTAATTATCTGTGGGTAATAAAATGATGATATGTGAGGTGAATGTGTGACTAGCAATCACACATTTCCCACCAGAAACCCAGTCTGATTCAATATTTACAACAAATAGCAGTCACCCTAAGGTCTTATTTAAGTTAATAAATGATTATCAAAAACAATACAGTCATAAGCAGGCTCTTAATTAATGGCCTTACTAATTACTCTTCTGTTTATGGGCACATAGAAAGCTTTATTGAGTATGTGCATGTATGTGTATACAAATGCATTGGATTGGCCCTGCATTAAGTCTCAAGTAGAATAAAGTTGCAGCTTGCCCTCCCTTCACACTGACTGTCTACCACAAAAGCCTGTTGAGCATTCAGAATAAATGTAATGTTCCAAGACGGAATAACTGATCAACTGCTATGACACCCCTATCACCTAACTTATGGTCATTGCAAGTAGCTGAGATGAGTTACATCAGCACCTAAGTCAGCTACAGCTATACTGAAATGCCTAACTACTCACTCAAAGTACACCAATTTTTCAATCAAATTTGACAACTTTCAAGGTCACAGCCCTGCCCGAAAGCCAACCAGGAAAATCTCTAGAATTCAAGGCAAAGGGGTATAGGTTGTTAGGGCTGGCAGCCGCTGTTTTCTCTCTGCCCTGGACAAACATGAAAGGAAAGCTTACCCCACAGGCCTGTGTGCTTTGAGGGGAGACTTTAATTCCCATATCTGAAATTCCTCAATCATGATAAGGAAAAATACGCATGCAAAGCAGATTGGCCATTTCCAAAAGCTTTTAGCTTCCCCAGGCTTCTGGATAACAAGGAAAGAATAGGGGAGGAAGGAGGAGGCAGAAGTCCACATATCTGCCATTAATCTTCACAAATCTTCCTGAGAGCAGAGAGCTGGGAAAGATACATGCTGGTATTAGTGAGAAGTTTAATACAAAGCTGTGGTCAATTAGCAAGGAAAAAAACTTCTGGAGTTCACTTCTTACATTAAAATCAATAATGAAATACCAGCATAACCAAATTTAATAGATAAAAGTGATGAGGAGAACAAAGGCAGGAGAAATGTAGATAAAATTAAATTTCCTTACAACTTGCAGCCTATTGACAAATACCTGAGACATGCAGAGTGTGACATTCCTCAAGGAACTCCTGGCTGCCTTAATAATGTTGATGTTTTGCTAGAGACTAAAGGCAACCTTAGTTTGAGACCAGCCAGACCTCCAGGATCCATAAGTCTTCTTTAGCATACGGAAATCCATTTAGAGACTTTCTTTATCTCTACCCTCCCCCCACAGCCTAAAAGTATATAATCAATCCCTCCTTATGACCCCAGTGCAGCTCTTTATGCTCACTGGTCCTGTCCCCATGCTTTAATAAAAACACCTTTTTGCACCAAAAATGTATCAAGAATTCTTTCTTGACCGTTTGCTCAGTGGCCCCATGTCGAAAGGGCTGAAAGTCACAGAAAGTGTGTCCTAAGAGAATTAAGCTACATGAGATTACTGAATAACCAAAAGGAATCTAAAATGCACCTAGACCACTGGTTCTCATCCCTAGTTCCTCACTCAAATCACATGAAGTCAGCTTTGAAGATATACTAATTTAAGGACTTCATCCCCAGTGATCCAGATTCAGTTTGTCTAGGGCAGAGGTTATGCCAAGGCTTATACCATTTTTATTAACCAGGTGATTCTAAGGGCATCCAGGATGAAGAACCACTGATCTCATGTCATTACCACCCTAATCTCCATAGAGGAAAATCTTTCTACTTACACAACCAAAAACATTTAATTATTATTGTTTACATATTGCTAGTGATGATGGTGGGGGTGGTGAGAACTGAACTAATTTATTCTTAGTTATTCATATTAATGAGACTAGACATGATAAGAATAAATTAAATCTGAAGATAACCCAGAAACTTCATTTAATCAAAGGGCTGAAACTGTCCTTCAAGCGATGACATGGCAAATTCTTAGAATCATGGAGATAGAATGAACCTGAAAGTGTCTAGTCCAAATAGCCACCGGGACAGAAAGAGAAGGAGCTGACTGGCACTGTGCTATTGTGCATGTCTTATTTAACGCTCTCACTAAGACTGTCAATCAGTGTTACTATCTTCATTTTTAAAGATGAGGAAGCTGGGTTCAGGGGGGTTAAATAATTGTCACAAACCTAGGATAAAATCAGAAAGAGGAATCACATACAAGATTTCCCATTTTCAGGAATGCTTTCCATAGCACTTCAGATGGATGGCCATTTCACTCTTCTTGGGCACCTCTAATATCTGTCATCTCACTCCGTAACAAAGAAGTCCATTCTGTTGGGCAGGCAGCATTTTTACAGAAATTATTTTTTTTCTGAGTCACGAAGCTGTCTCTCCATAAATCCTGCTCACAGATTCTTGTTATACTCTCTAGAGCAAGAAGAGCAATTTAGCCCCTTCTTAATAGGAAAATTCCTTCAAATGTTTAAGGAAAGCCATTATGTTCCCCCTGAGATTTCTTTTCTCTAACTACACATACTCAGCTCTTTGTAATAGTTTCACATGATCTCAGTACCCTCACAATTTTAATTGACCTCCTCTGATGCTTTTGGGAAGGTCTATGCGGTTTTTATTTTATTTTATTTTATTTTATTTTATTTTATTTTATTTTATTTTATTTTAGAAAGAGAGAGAGAGAGCAAGTGAGAGGGGGCCAGCAAGGGAGAAGGAGAGAGAGAATCCTAAGCAGGCCCCATGGTGGTGAGTGGGGTGGAGCCCACAGAGGGGCTTGACCTGAGATCAAGACCTGAGCCAAAATCAAGAGTTGGACGCTTAACAGACTAAGCCACCCAGGTGCCCCTCTATGTGCTTTTTAAATGTGATGACCAGAGCCACTGGTGACATCCACATGGTCTTTACATTGGGACTTAGCCAGTGGTTGAGAGCAGGAGCTCTGGTGGCATCCAAGTTCTTACCCTCACTACTCTTAAATATACTTAGACAAGTGCTGAACATTTCTAAGCCTCTTTCCCTGTTGATAAAATGGAAATAGTACCTATGTCAAAGGCTGTAATCAGAATTCTATGAGGAAACATCTGTAAGCATTCACTAATATGGAGGATATTGTAAATGCTCAGTAAATGATAGTTCATTTTTTCTTTTATCTTGACAATGCATGGCTATTGATTAGTCTAATATTGTAATATTTTTAGAAGCCATATAAAATCATGGTCTCGTGTTAATATCAGATAAAACCTCTAAGCATCTATTCACAAATTGAAATCAGAATATATCTCTCACATGCTCTAATTGCACAATTTTTTAAAAATTGAAATGAAAACTTTACTTGTATCCTGTTAAATTTCATCTCTTTCTTTCTTGCCTTTTTTTCAGCGCAGTTTTGTTCCATTCTGTAGTATTATTTTAAATGTTCATTCTTTGGTCTTAGTGTTACATTTATGCTTTTTGCAAATTTTATGACTGTCTTCTATACACGTCATTGATTAAAAGCCAAAAACAGGGCAGGGTTGTTAAGTTTTAAGCCCTCAGACACAGCACACATCTCCATGCATCATATTATTCTGTTAATCAGGACAGCTTGTGTGTCATAGCTCAACTAGCCTTAAATCTATCTAACTGTATCTCAAATGAGCCGTATTTCTGGGTCCTGACTACAATGATAGCGTAGGAAACTGTGGAATTTACTTATTCATTTTTCATTTCAAAGTAAATATTCATTTACCTTGCCAGGTTTTGTTTTTTTTTTCTTGCAAGCTTTTTAACCTCAAACATAATTTAATTTCCTTTGGTATTTTTTACTTACTTTTCAAGTAAATATTTTCCATCATTAACTTGTTCTAAAGGATTCTGCAATCTTTTCATTTCTTCCTGTGAAAAAGAAAAGAAGTATCTTACAAATTGACCCCATGTACTTGTGGGTAATAATATTTGAGTATTTGTTGTTTGCAAAATTGAGGTAACACACTGTTGAGAGTTCTGGACTTTGCAATGGATAAGTGCTTAAACATACAATAAAATTTGATCCTTGATCAAATTAGAATACAATACTGCCTCTCAAATTGTGTGATTTCTTTTTATGCCACTAAAGATAATACTTCCTATTATTTTCCCAGAGTGGGGATGTGTTTATATGGATCCACTCGTGCTCTTCCCAGATTTTCTCTGTCAACAGTATTATGTTTGCTGGTTGCTGGGTGAAGGGCTCTAATGAGCATGTGCTGGGTTTGGCCATTCAGCAATCATCCTCTCCAATCTCTTGGTAACTCTAGGTAATCTCGTCCCTGAGTCACAGCGCTCAGAAATGCACAAGACACACACACACACAGACACACACACACACACACCTTCCCTGCATTTCAGGCATCCATAGTTTCTGTAATCCCATTCACAAGACACACACACACACACACACACACACCTTCCCTGCATTTCAGGCATCCACAGTTTCTGTAATCCCATTCTTCAGGCCACAGTGATTTGCTCAGGGATATGACAGAAGCCACTACTTGCTTCTTCACAAAAACTGCTAAAGTGCCAAGAGGAAGCCCCAATTAGAATTAATTACACATTTGTGCCTACAAGACCATCAGGACTAGTCTCAACATGCTTCTAAACTATCAGACATCCAATTCTCCTAGGTCATCCCCCAAATTTATATTTGCACCTGACCTCTCCTCTAAACTCCTCCCTCTACACCACTTTCTTACTTAACAGCTCCAGATGCATGTCCAATGGGCATCTCAAGTTCAAAACCAAAGTCTAGATTTCCTTGCCTCCACCCTCCCACCCAAAACCTTTTTTTTTAAATTTTATTTTATTATGTTATGTTAGTCACCATACATTACATCATTAGTTTTTGATGTAGTGTTCCATGATTCATTGTTTGCATATAACACCCAGTGCTCCATTCAATATGTGCCCTCTTTAATACCCATCACCGGGCTAACCCATCCCGCCACCCCCCCTCCCCTCTAAAACCCTCAGTTTGTTTCTCAGAGTCCAAAGTCTCTCATGGTTCATCTCCCCCTCTGATTCCACCCCCCCTTCATTTTTCCCTTCCTACTATCTTCTTTTTTTTTTTTTAACATATAATGTATTATTTGCAAAACTTCTTCTTCACCACTTCTTCCTCATTTTAGCAAGTGGCATCACTATTCACCTAGATATGCAGAGCTAAAACCTAGGAGTCAGCCTTCATGCCTTTGTTTCTCTCACAGCACACAATCAGCTAATCTTGTTGATTCAACTTCAAAACATATCCAGAACTGACCTCTGCTTCTCAGTGTGGTCTAAGCCAACAGTGAGTGTCCTATCTCTGTTTCCCATATTGGCCCACTTCAGTCAATTCTCCTTACATCAGCCAGCATGATCTTTTAGTACCTAGGCTTTCATTCTGAAGTGTGTGAAATGCACATATTGTAAACATACAACTTTTGACAAAGGCATACACTGGCAGAACCACCACCCAAAAATGAAATAAAGAACATTTCTCTCTCTAGAAAGTTCCTTTCCAATTCTTCTCTCTCAATTCCCCTCTCCTGTTCTGATTTCTATCATCATAGATTAATTTGGCTTATTCTAGAACTTCATATAAAATTACCTATTCTTTTGTGTCTGGTTTAATTCACTCAGCATTATATTTTGAAATTAGTTGCTCAACCAATGTTAACTGTTTAAACTTCACTTTGGTATCTAGAGAATTTTCATTTTTTTCTCTGAATTCTAGAGTATAAGAATTTTGAAGTGTGAAGAACCCTGGAACAAATGTAAGTGTTTGCTATGGTAAGAGCTACTAACTGGAAGAAAAAGATAACATAGCAGAGAGGATGGATGTCAAGGAAAACAGCTAAGGAACCAATGCCCTAGTGATGCTGTGAACCTCTGGGTCAAACTGGAGCTTGAAACCAGCATATTGATGGATTTTTCAGTTTCATGATCCAATAGATTCTCTTATTTGCTTAAGGCACTTTTGCTTAAGATTTCTATTTTCTTTCAGATGAAAGAATCCAAACTCAGAAGTGAGCCATAACCGAGGGCTACTACTATATACAAAACCCTAACTTAGATGAGGCATGGAACTATAGAAGTTCAGAACTGGGCAGTTTTGTTTTGTCAGTGTCTTAAAAAATGTGTCATTCAGAAGAATAATAGATGAAGCAGGTCATGGTCTTCAGTTCCTTTTTATTAAATACTGCTGCTTTTATATCCAATATCGGCATAACAAATTTCAGATGATGAACATTTCTGCATCTTCTGTAAAACTGCTCTATAAGACACTGTACATTTTGCTACAGGTTCTCTCATATAAAAGAATAAAATTTTAGGATTTACTATGAGGGGATATTTTCCCATTCTGATACAATAGTGCACTTCTTTTCATCAACAATAACAATTTATAAGTCTTACAGAGGTTGTTTATTTTGCCTTGAAGCTTACGCTAAATTACTCAGTTGTCAGAACTACTTTTTCCATGCTGTTAGTACAATTATACACCCTTCTTTCACTATATGGTGTGTGAAATTCCTTATTTTTATTTTTTTAAAGATTTTATTTATTCACTTGAGAGAGAGAGAATGAGAGAGAGAGAGCATATGAGAAGGGGGAGGGTCAGAGGGAGAAGCAGACTCCCTGCCAAGCAGGGAGCCCAATGCGGGACTCGATCCTGGGACTCCAGGATCATGACCTGAGCCGAAGGCAGTCGCTTAACCAACTGAGCCACCCAGGCAATTCCTTATTTTTATTTTAATTCTTTTACATGTGTGCTTTTCACAGTAAGTGGAAGCCAGTACAGGATCAGCAGAGTATATATATATGATAAATGGATAAGAAGATAAAGATGATTAATAGGTAGGTAAGTAGGTAGATAGAGCAAGCATCCTTTTCACTCTTACATATGGCTTTTTATTTTCAAGGTAAAACCAACTCTTCAGCACTACAGACGCTGGTTTCTTATTCTAAGAAAAAGTCTCCACATTTATCCTCTATTTTACCCCAAACCTCCAACCCTCCCACCTAATCCTTCATCATATCCTATCCCACCTCCAGTGACATAAGCAATAGATGACGCAGCTGTTATACAGACAGGAAATAGATTGAATAAGAATCCATAGTTATTCTTGAAAACCAAAGGAGGATTTTTAGGTCATGAACGTATTCTTTTTTACCCCCTGGATTATGATTAGGAGGTAAGTTAGGTTAGTAGTCCCAGTACTTCTTCTCTAAGATGTGCCTGTGGCGTGCTTTCTTCTTTTCTTTTTCCCTGGGGACCTGGGGGGCAGGAAATAAAGGGCTTTTGCACTCTGTGCCAGCCACTCTCCTTTCCCTGGTTCTTTCATTGCAGAAAGCTTGCTGTGTGGGGAGGGCTTTGATGCAGTACTTCATTCAATCTGACTATCCACGTTCTAGGAGATCATATTAAACATAAGGTCAATGACTAACAAGAGCTTTCTGAACAGCTGTTCTGCTGACAATTTGGAGGATTGATTTCATCATTTGGTTATTTAAGCTAACTATACAAAAACACTTCAATTCAATTGGCCTGGAAGTTCCAAAACATGTCCTCATTTTCTTGGAAATGGATGAGGAAGTTGCTTGCTCAACAGATCTTCACTTGGAGTTTCACTTTTTGAGTAAGTTTTGTTTCAATTTACCATTAAAATCATGTACAAACTGGTCTTTCCCATCACTGGTTTCTCCATTAGTCCTTTTTGTCTCTGATTTCATATCTGGCAATGACATTTCCCTACTAGAAACCACCAGTAGCTTCCCAGTGATTTGAGGATAGATTCCAAATTCCTCAGCCAAGGTCTGGTGCAACAGGGCCCAGCTGTCTCTCCCCACTCCACCTCATGTACCCTGCCTACACACTCCCTCCCTAAGTCTGGTAATAGGAAACTTCACATAATCCTGGAACTCACATCCTCTCTTACTGGACATTCAATAACAGTGTGTCCCCAATTATTCTACTTGCCCACTCCCACTCTTCCTTCAGGAAGCCCCCAACATTATTCTTCTCCATAGAAGCTTTCGGAACTCAACAGGAGGGTAAAATACCTTGCCTTGCTTCCTTAGCAAACCATGGTGATCCCTATTTTAGCATTACCTCTCTACCTGATGCACAGTGCCACCCCACCACTAAGATCCTTGAAGTCAGAGATGGTGACTTGCTCACACTGAGATGCCTATTCCCCAGTGAGGCATTTAGGAGGTGCTTAATAAATATCTGTTGAATAAATAAATGATAAATGAATTGAATGCACTATTCAAACTGAAGTGAAAAGAAATCTTAGTAGCTTAATGGCCTCCCAAATCCCAAGAAATCGTATGTCCTCTGCTGATTCTTCTCCCCTCTCCCAATAAACTTTTTTTTAAATCATTTGGTAACTTTCTCTTTTTATTTAACATTATATTTTTCCAGCTTTACTGAGGTATAATTGACAATTTAAAATTATATATATTTAAAGTGTACTACTTGATGATTTGATATATGTAAACACTGTGAAATAATCACCATAATCAAGCTAATTAACATATCCATCACATTACATAGTTACCATTTCTTTCTTTCCCTTCCTTCCTTCCTTCCTTCCTTCCTTCCTTCCTTCCTTCCTTCCCCTTCCCTCCCCTTCCCCTCTCCTTTCTTTTTTTTTTGGTGTAGTAAAAACACTTAAGATCTACCCTCTTAGCAAATTTCAAGTATACACTACAGTATTGTTAACTGTATACTGTTGTTCATTAGATCTCTAAAAGTTACTTATCTCGCATAACTGAAACTTTGTTCTCCTTGACCAACATCTCCCTATTCATACCCTTGCTCATCCCCACTCTCCTCTGAGTTCTGGGAGGTCAAAATTTTGGGCTTTATCAAT